TGATGCAATTTACAGTGTTTATACTGCAAAAGGCGACACATCGATGCGGTCTAATCAAGTATTTCATTCTACAGCCAAACATGCATTTGAATTGTTCAGATTTGATACGTGTTTCTGATCTGATAATTTTTTGATGACGTTCGTGGTCTATTGGAGAATAATGTCCCGCGACTTCCTTTGAAGATTTCAATAACCGTGGTAGAATATCGAATAAAGTTCTTTCTTTTTATTCAAATGAGATACTCAGATTTGAAACAGATGTGTCAGTTCTTGTGAATCTTTATTTCGAGTTCAAAGCGATATATCGAGTCAACTTAAGAATAAAACATGATATTTCAAAATGCAATTAAAATGTTTTCAACAATCCTAAAAGTTATTGTATGCCACAGCAAGAGACTTATTTCATGTAAATATTTTGAATTATTTGAATTTGTTTCATATGAATACGGGGCTCAACAAGGACCAATGATAATCACCCATTCTCAATATAAGGGCTCAAATGATGTCGCCTCATTTTCATTTAAAAGAAATACCACTGATGTAATTTTTAAATCAACATTATAAATAGTCATATAACAATGAATAAGAATTTATATAATTATCGATCTGAAAGGGTATTTAAGGAGTTCCAAATTCAAATATAGTAGCCTATTTGAAATGTACGTTACTGTCGCCGAGGCAAATATTATTCTGAATCCCCTCTGTGTAATATATAGTTTTGATTCTCAAGTAAAAATTTTCTGATAAGTTAAACCTTGTATCATATATATTTCTTTTCATAACAATAAATACATTTTCTTTGTGATAATAAATAATTTTCATTGTACAATGTCCCTGTCGCTTAATTCTATTTCAACCACATTACAAGCAAACACAAAGATTATACACCTGATAGTTTTGTTCTCCTTTATTTATTGATGGGCTAAATTTGAAATTTCAAAGGATTAATTACTCCTACTTAGATAATGTAACATGAAATTGAAAAACTTGAGCAACTTTTATAAATATGTTTACGGAATGAAAGACATTTTCAATCGTAGAGATAAGAAAGAAATGTACGTTACCTATATTCTTCCATTAAGAATACATATTAAGTAGAAAATATGAGACGACTCTGAATAAGCAACCCCTTGTATCCTGTAAACTGGCAAAGACGTTTTGCTTAACACAATTAAAAATTATTTTTTACATGTAAAGTGATCATTTGAAATGTACGTGACTGAAATGTACGTTACAATGAAATTCGAATTAAGTGAATCTCGCACGAATTTTCATGTATTCTAATACTTTCACACACTCGAATGTATACACAAAGGAAAGTTTCAAAGGTTGGAGGTCGGCTAAATCCCAAAACTAATGAAAAGAAACGTCTCTGCTGAGGAAAAAAATATTTTAAGGTCAATTATTATGTAATATAATTTTGATACATGGTATATATTTCTGAATAAGAAACCTGTATGATGCATTTCTTATGATATGCAGGTTCAAATAGTATCAATATATTGCGCGTCTAACGTATGCTTGTGGAAGAGAATTGATTTTTATATTTGAAATGTACGTTACGTATGGTAACGTACATTTTATGTATTTCTAACTGACAATTTTTTTTTAATTTAGTCAATGAATTACGTTTACATGAACGAAACAAAATTATCGTTACAATCCATTTGACAACTGGCCACATCTAAATGCACCCCAATCCTCGTAAATGTTTTAAACTGTTACCACATGCTAGAAAATTTATTTCTAAGTGTCTTAAATTCATCTTTGGCAACCTTTTTGCAGTTTGTTTACTTTTCATGTGCGACTTTTCGTCAATATTAATTGAATTATTGTTGATAATTTAAAACAAGGTATGCATAGGCTTATAATTGGTAAAAAAAAAAAAGAAAACAAAAAAGAAAAGAAAAAGAAACAAAACAAATAAACCCAGAACACAAGACGGTCACGTACATTTAAAATACTGAATACTCAGTTTTGTTTGAATCATTGCATTTTAGGTTACATTTTTCCAGATCTGCTAAAAAACACGTATGTTTGTGTTTTGAAAAACGATGTTGCAACATACTAAATGAAATTGTTAACAAGACTGTCGATGGATATATTCGGAATAGATTTATGTTAAGTTTCAATGGCCAAACACGAACATTTGTTAGATCATAGCAAAATACATCTGACTCTTATATTTTTTTTGTCTGTAACCTTGAACACAGTTAGAAGTAACTAGGCTACGACCGATGTCAATTTCAGCGAAACAGCACAAAAGAATGGTTATGAACTGAGGTGGAGGGAACTCCCCAATAATATGTGAAATGAACGTTACCGAAGTGACGTGACATTCTTGTAGTTGATGACAATAACCTCGTTTGTTACATTATGATTTCTTATATTACTGCATTAAAACGCTTCATTGATATGATTTTTATGTCAAAAATTGCTTTTTTTTCAATATTTTCTTATTACTAATTTACATATTATTACAAGCTTGAAATGTACGTTACCTACTCATATTCTGAGGCAATCGTGTCTTTATAGTGGTGATTGTGACATATAACACAATGTGATTACATAGAGAATCTTTTTTGGAATAAACTGAAACAAAACGATGAATTTTTAGATGAATTTTAGATGAATTTTAAGCTTTTTATTAAACAGAAATATATCTTGAAATGTACGTTACATTTACATAGTTTTCTAAATCGGCATGGATATATGTTAAAAAAGACAGTAACTTCAAAATAGAATTTTACTACATGTACATGTTAGGTTCCAGTATCTATTAAAAATGACAAGATTCCAAACTGATCGCTCTTAACAAAACAGAGAGAAGAATTTAAAGCATATATTTAAAAAATGTTTTTACACATCTGGATCAAAAAGTAACCTTTGTTTTTGGAAGGAAAAATCAAACGCACGTTTGTTTGCCGAGAAAATATGTTGCTGACAGAGTTGGTAGGATGTGCTGGTGTTAAGATGAGATATTCCAATTGTGATTTTAATGACTACATTTTTTTGGACATATTTTTTTGGACATTGAAGAAAGAGTAACGTACATTTCAAGCTACATTTCTGAATAAAATTACCCTCTACTTTATCGTCTTGTCATTATTTCATGTATTATAATTTGATGAAAAAAATCTGGAAACAAAATCTTCAGATACTTTCTTTCAAAGGTAATTGATAGAAAAATTGTTATCTTGAACTTCATTTTTTAAAAAATCAGAGAGGCATTTGTGCCCTTATATTGAGAATGGGTGTAATTCCTTATGGTGAAGCTAACAGTGGCCGTTGAAAACAAATCTATAGACCGGGTTTCAAACATGGAACCCCAGAAATTCTAAAGGTGCGATCACAAGGAGGAATGTAAATCATCTGTTGACCGGTCACATCCGACGCGAGCCCTGTGTATTGCTCCTGTAAATTGAACTTTCCGTTGTAAAATCCAGTTTTAAAAAACAGGCTTAGCAATTGGTACTAAACACATCAGCAAAGTATGACAAAATGACATTACATTTCATGGAGTCGGTCGTGAAATGTCTAAGGAATTTGCAAAATGCTGACTCTACAAGAGCATGTTAAAATCACAGTAACCTCAATTTATCTGTCAGCAGCCTGCTTCGGTTTTCAAGTTGATCTTTTTTTGAACTCTGAAAAGCATTAAATGTACTATTAGAATATTGATTTCTCTGTCAAAATGCGAGTACGTGTGTATGTTTAATATTTATCTATAAGAAATAAATAATTTCTTGCAAGCTACAAATTATAAAGGCAAATCGATAAACGCAAAAAAAAAAAATATTTCGTCTGTGTCATTCATTCAAATCTTCGAAAGGCAAAAAAATATATTAATTAAAGTAAATTAATGTTTGTCCCTGGTTTGGATTAAATAAACAGTACACTTGTGGCATATTTATTCCCTCGGTAGCAGTAGTTCTAGTAATAAACTGACTTTAGTAGACGTGATTACTTTTGTGAAAGACAAGCGGGGTATATGTTTATCTCTGACTTGGAATTTTTCATCTAGTTATATATTTATGACTCTTGATTTCATTTTATACATGGAAGGACATATGTTTATTCACATCTGTTCATATGTGTAGAACTATTATATGTGTATACAGACAGCAGGGCATATGTTTATCTCTGCTGACTTAATTGTACAATTATTTTTTAATTTGACAGGTATAACTGCACTTTGCCCCTTTGTATTGCTTCTTTTTTCTTGGGGTCTGAACTTGATTAAATTCAATTTAAAGTATAAATCTAATCATGTTCATAGCGGTTTCAGACCACAAGAATGTTTGATATATTATGTAATCAATTACGTCATATATTATGTAATCACGATTTACATATTAATCATATTCATAATTCGTTTTCACTCTGTTGTGAATTTTTCATACGAACAATAAGTTGTTTATTAATAATTTTATGGATTTCACGATCAATTAATTATACATAATTAATTACAAATATTTTCTATAATGAAAGTCACATTAGTGGCAAAGTGCAACATACCTAAATGTCTTGTTGTTTATGAGAATGGGGAGTGAGGCGGTGGCTTGAAACTCTGCGATAGTACAATAACGGTGACTTGGGTTCTCGGCAGTACAAGAAAATGTTAATGAGCGAGAAGTTCCACATTTTAGTTATTAGGTCAAAATGAATTTGCATTGGGAATTGTACATAAAATAGATTAATTAAAGTAGCCTGAAAAGTGTGCAGCCAGAAAACTATTTTGTGGAGAATTATTTATAGAACTTTATCAGACTTAACTATGATATTAATTTTCGCTATTAACATACAGCAAACAATATTCTAAACAATATTAATAAAATCCCTCCACGAAGAAAGTTTAAAAGTCTAAACTCCAGAATTAAGATGATGTACTTCTTTTGATCTGTTCATTTCTATTTATAAGAAGTGATAATTTACGACAAAATTATTAGAGCAAACCAGGAAGACAATTTCTAGGTCTAAACTCCAGAAGATGAACACTTCTCACGAGAAGCCGTGTGTAAGAGATGTAAACGAAGTTTCTCCACTAATAAAACAAAATGTTTATAAGAACAACATTTCTTGTTTTTGTCCTTCTACCTGTCGTATACTCACAATATATTCAAGTGTACTGAGAGTGTAAACTGGACTACGATGATCTTCAAAAACTGGTGCAAAAACAGAACAAGATATTTGACAGAGACATACAAAAACTCAAGCAGGAAGTGGAAAATCTCAGGAGAGACAACATGGAGCTCAGGCATTTAATTAACAAAACTGGGTGTGATGGAGAGTCCACATCAGGTATGTAAAATATGTGCCCTTAAAGTAAATTTTAGTCGTAATTAAATGCAATATGTTCATTGGTATTCTCCCTTTCTGATATTTCACCACTAGCTATTTGTACCTTTCCTACCTCTTTAGTTTAATATTGTTCAAAATTAATTTAACAATAAATTTTTTTTTTATTTTCTCAAGGTTCGGTAAGAGGTACAATGTTTATTGGTTTTACCTTAGCACTAACTTCGCAGAATTTTGCACACAAAGGAAGCATATTAAAATTTGAAGAAATCATAACAGATTACAGCGCAAAATTTAATGACCGTGGAGAATTTCTCTGCGGCTTAAATGGCACATATGCATTTTTCCTTCATTTAGTAACTAGATCATCAAACGCTAATGGGGCATGGATTTATAAAAACAATAGTCCAATGACATTGGTTTGGCAAGGGGGTCCAAGAGGGACCCCTGGTGATGCGTCAGGGTCAACATCAATTGTCGTTGATTTATACAATGGCGATACAATGTCTATTAGATCTTACAAGGACAATTTAACAGTCACTGATAAGACTGTATGGTCCGGTCATCTCTTATCCAAATTACCAAATGACAACCCTGTATTGGTAACAACATTAGAAAATCCTGTTGCCGGTAAAGATGTTACCATTCGTGGACGAGATATTTTGGTCAACTTAAGACATGCTAATTTCTCGATGGCAAAAGATAATTTCTTGTGTACCAAAGCAGGTTTATATAAAGTTGATATACACTCTATTATGAAGTCTTCTGTTTACAATAGTGTAGAGTTATTCTACAATGGAAAAGGTCTCGACAAAAACCTCTATAGATCGGTCACTTGGAACTCCCAAATTGATTACAGTTCCTCTTCTACAGCTGCCGTACTGAGTCTCTCTTCCTTAGACACGCTTTCGTTGAAGATGAGGCTTCAGAATGACAGAACCCTAAGCTCATCATCGATATTTGCCGTGTATTTTTTGAAAAACAAAGCTGGCAAGGCCGACTTTTTTTGTAAAAGTTTGGAAACCATAGGGACTTACCTGACTTGTCCAAAGTCACTTAATATTTTTAGTCCCACCGGGTTGTTTAGCATAAAATCAAAGGGATTTTACTACTTCGGAATACATTTAGTTTCCGCAACACGTGATACTGGAGTCCGAATTTACAAAAACGAAGCACCCATGACAACGGCTTGGCTTGGAGCTGAATGGGGTACATGGATGACAGCGTCTACGTCGATCGTTGTTGATATGGATCTCGGGGATCACATCACATTTAGAAAAATTACTAGTGGACTAAATGTGGACCATGCTTCTATAATCACCGGCTATAAAATCGACATCTAGTGTAGCGATTGTTTAAAAGAGATAACAATTTGAAAATTCTTCAATTTAAATGTAGTTTTTTTTAAAAAAAAGATACTTATACAAAGAATGGTCGATGCGCATATTGAACATAATTGATAAAGGATCACATGAAATTTACATGTAAGGTGATGTTATACCCCGGTATATATCCTGCATGCATGTATGAAAAAATTAATTGTATGGTTCCTGTGTATGTACTTTACTTAATTATAAATCTTTGTAGTAAAAGCCGTGTTTCGTATTATTCTTTACAAGATAAATTATTAGGTTGAAATGTAGACAAATTGTCTCGTTCGGACTCTAAGCTATAAACCCTGCTTGAATATATCCTCTGAATGTGTTTTCGGATAAATGTTTTGCAAATATTTAAAAATTTCAACAAATCCAAAGCTTAAAATCTTGAAATTTATAACAGTAACAAAAATAAAAGAAATGTCAAAAGAACATTAAAGAATTTTACACTAACTTAAATTTCCGAGCAAGACTTTATATATTAAACTTATTGTATTTATTAAATGTATTTGAATATGTACAAAAGTCAAGAATTTCTCCTGTAATGATTTACAAAACATTTATAACAAATACATCAATTTCAATTATAAATATATTTTGTGTGGATTTTTATCAACATTGCCTCTATCATGGGAAAGATACATATAAGACGCGAAAAGATCTTAATCAGAAATGTAGTTTTATCATGTGGTTGTACTTTAATTCAAATAACAAACTACTTAAGTAGTAAATGATGTCTCTCAAACTAATACGAAAAAAAATTGACTGCAAATTGAATGTTTCTATAATACGCTAAGTACGTTTTCAAGAGTAGATGTTCACGTCTGACAAAGTAACAACCCATTTCTCTAAGTGCTCTTGAAACTCTTTATATTGTTCTCTAGTATGAATGTTGTTCTAACTATAAAGGTCCTAAATAAATGCTATAGTCTTCTTAACAATAACCAACTTTCGAATTATTTAATATTATATTTTGAATAATCCCATGGTTTTGTAAAAACATAAAAGGTGAAAAAATGCACACTGTTAAACGAATGCACACTAATAAACGATATACGGGCTAGATTTTGTATATGAAAGCTGTGCGGCTCAGATTGATGAAAATGTATTTTTTTTTATCACACATAAATTATCATGTATATGCAGTGATTTTATAGATAATAATTAAACATGCTTACGCTATTTATAACAATTTTATTAATTTGTTTTTTCTATTATCATCATTCCAGTCTAAAATTCATGTTTATTACATTTTGAAAAGAGAAATATTTGATTTTTTTTAAAAATAAAATTGATATTTGTTTTCATTGTGAAAAAAATACTAAAGAGATATTCCGTCATAGAGTAAAGAGATATCAAAGTAAGTAGAAAATAATTTTTTGACAGTCATAAGATAGAAATTGTAGCTAAACAATGTATGTTCATGAAGACTAATGTCATCCTGAACATGTTAATAAAATCCATTTTACAATACGTTTCTTACCAAGAATTTCTAATTATAAACTATGACGTCTCTACTGTTCGTAGGCACTCATCTAAGGCCTCACAGCCTATGACAATTTGTTTAGAAAAGACAAAGGGAAACCAAAGAAAATATCATTAACCCAAAATATTACTGTTTTGTATTCAGATATAGAAATTGACTTTGATTTATTTTATTATGATAGAGAGCGACTGGCTTTGCGGGGTTGGGGGTTGGGTGAGGAGAGGGAGGCAAACAGAGGGTATTATTTGAATCAGCACCTTCTACATGTACGACAAGGGGTCTCAGCTTCCGAAGGACAGGTCTCTACATCACACAGTTTGATTCGAACCAGCAAATTAAGAAAAGGATCAACATTTTACTCTGTGACTCTTAGAGCAAATGCCTTAACCACTGCACAACGCAGGCTACTTAATGTTTTCTTCAAGTATGTCATAAGACTTCAATTGTAATAAATGGTTCTGAAGTTAAATTTATGACCATTTTTCTCAAAGGACAGATAGACACAGGCCTTATGATTGAATCTCTGTGAATGCAGTAAAGACATCTTCATAGGGAACGAAAAATCAAAATATTTTTAATTTATTAGGCATCTTTCATTTATTGTGTCAAAATAATAACCATCCATTAAAGGCAAATTTAAAAGATGGATGACTATAAATATTTCCAGAATGTTTTTCTTTCGGGCGTGTTCGAACTAAGACTATATCACCGTTATTTATTACCACAACAACGATACCCGTTGCTGTTCGAATTTCATTTGCACCTTCACCGGAAGTGAACATGCCACCTATCGGATTGGAATTAACTGCTATTACAGAGAAGACGTGTCGTATGAGTGAGCTACAGTATAGATTTCAGGTAACCACGTATACCATGTGAAAGCGCAGTGAAGGCTGCCGTGTGTGGACTGAAATGACCCACGGTGTTCGTCAAATAGAATTGTCTGATGTTCTGTTATATGCGTTTCGTACGTTTTTAAATAAACATAGAACGCCACACCATTGAGTTGATTAGTAGTAGGAATTCCTGTAAAATACAAATAACTATGCCAATATTTTTATTACATGATAAAAAATCATTTAGAATATCTTCCTGTAATGCAAGTAAAGTATAGAAAATATTAAAAAGTAGGCATAATAAACTCCAAGGTCAAGGTCAAAAGGTCAAGGTTTTTATCATCCAATGAAAGGTATTGCCAAAAAACTACATATTTGAAGTATGAGAGTACTAGTATCTACCGTTTAAAAGTTATGGCCAAAGTAAAAATTTGGCATTTTTGTGTAAAATGGGACAAACTCCACGGTAAAGGTCAAAAGGTCAAATTTAGTGGTACCCAAAGTAAGGTCTTGTCACAAGGAATATACATATTAAATATGAAAGTCATAGCTCCAATAAATGAAAAGTTATGAAAAAGGTTAAGGTTTTTGCAGACAAACAAACCGCCAGATAGACAGACGGACATACAGACGAACACGATAAAACTATATACCCCCGAATCTTCGATTAAGGGGACATAAAAAGACATGGTCTTCAATTAACTTTTCATATTATGATACATTATAAAGAAGACGTTACAACAATGAAAATGTTTGTTCTGATTTTCATATTAAATTCTCTGAAAAGTATACTCAGAACAGTTTTGTTTACTGAGTAAAAGGGTGGAGTAAAACAAGAATTAAGGTAGAACCTATGTCGGAAAAGTCTTTGTCACAAGATTTTCAAACTTTTCAAAATGATAAATTAGTACTTGCTTATCAATCAGTTAAGATATCATTATATGTTTCCTTGTTTTTAATCTAGAACAGGCTGTGAAACTTGGTATGGCATTTACATACTGCGACATTTTCAAATTGTTTTAGGGGTACTTGTCATAAAGGGAATATGAAAAATCACAAAAATACTTCTTCAAACATCGTCGTTTATAAACTTTTTTAACTGAATAATATTAAACAATATTTTATCAAGAAGAATTTGTTTTTTATTCAATATGTTCAATTAACATAAAAGATAAGTCCATCATTAAAAAAATAGTCAAATGAACTCTATTATTTTTAGTCAATTATGCACCCTATATTTGTAAATATTTTTTAGAAGTCTATGTCACAATGTTTTCAATCTTCAATATGATGAAGAACATAGCCAAATGATTACAAAAAATGATTAAAATATATACTTTTCCCCTCTACATGCTCTAACTAATGAAAGATAAGCTATTTACCGATACTCATATTCTTGACCTTTTTGCACTTACAAGGGATTTACTAATTAAATGACTGTTTGGGGTTACTTTCAGATTAAATATTTATTAGAAATTGAACTTTTACTTTAAAAAGATCATATTTAATAGAAAAATTGTAATTAAACACCAAGAATATGAATATGTAACAAATAATTGTTAAAAGGAATGCACATCATTTCATTATAGATATCACAAAAATGTACACACGATCAAAAGATCTACAACACGTACATCTTTGACTTAGACACATTTCATCAAGATATTACACTATATAGCTGGTAACTAAAGATTTCTTACGATTTATGCATTCCTTCAAAATGGTTACATAACATTCAAATTATTACGAAAGTTGTATGTACATTGTAATTTCATTACACTAGATAGTCTTGGGTTTGTCAACTTCAGGTCTAGATCTAGTAAATAAAAGGTGCCTACATATTTTCTCTTATTCCAGAAATATTTTGCCATTAAGCATTATAAACCAAAAAATATATGAATTGAATTAAGATTATGTTGACATGATTGAATTCTGTGAATTTAAAATTGCAGTATTTTCTACCATTTTTATTGAAGCTGTCAAGTACGGGAAAAAGTGGTATTGAATTAATTATGACGTCCTAATTTGGTTAGCACAGGTTTATCACATTAACCAGTTATGATGTCATACGAAGTAGGTTCTACGTTAAAAGAAATGTAATGAATACTGTGTGCTAAATCAAAAGTTTATGTCTACATGTATAGTTATTCCCATTCGCTTGAAAAGCAGGAGGGTATATAGTAATCGTTAATTCCATCCGTCTGTACGTCCGTCCGTCTGTTACGCTTTGGGGTACCCATCTCTTATCCGCAACTCCTCTTAAACCACTGAGTGAAATTTTATGAAACTTTCACAGAATCTTTATAACATATTGCCATTTTGCACCTTCTATTTTATTTTTGGATCCGACACATATTTTGGGTTTTCTGGCCACAGCAAAACATGGACTTTTTTTTCATTATAATCATATGGGAGGCGGGGGGTATCATTTAGTGAGCTCATTGCTCACAGTACCTCTAGTTTTTGCATTAGAATTACTGTGTATTTTACACTAGCACATAGCTTTACAGAGTATATTTTTAGGTCTTACACTTACCCCACGCCCTTTCTTATTTAGAAGGAAGTCAATATTGAACAAAAGCAAAAAAAAAACACCTTACCTTTATTTTTCTATAAGAAGGAATTAAAAATAAGCTAAATATAATCTACTACTCTACTAATTTTTAACTGTTACTTTGCCACAGTACTTTTAAGTATACCTCCA